CTGTGGAGAAGGAGTGGCACTGAGTGAGACAGAGAGCGAGACCCAAGGTACTACTGGCCAGCAGGTATGAGGAAGATGGGGCTTGAAGCTTGACCCTTATGGGTCCTTTCCCCCAAAATAAATACAGGCCAGGACCATCCATCACTGCGAGCGAGGCCCCATCACTGAATAGATGCCAGAGCCCGGAACGAGGAGAAAGCTGAGCTCCCCCAGACCTTAGCCCGCCTCTTGGCCCCTTCATCACCATCCCTCCCGCAGTAGATCAGAGCCTACATCTCCCCCCCGCCTGCCCGTGGGCACCACCGTGAGGAGTGGGCACTGTCTTGGCTTTGTTTCCCACCATGGGTACCCAGATGGAAAAGACGCCCGGGAAGTCAGGCTTTGGGTATTTCCCAATCACAAACCCATCCTGGGTGACAGGTGCCCTCTCTTCTCCTCAGCACAGTGCCCAGGAGGTGCTCAGGCAGTGTTTCTGACCTAGCCTGGCAGAAGGACAGGAATCTAGCAACCCTGTTCCAGGCTGTGTTCCCCAGGGTGTGGTTACTCCCCCCCCCCCCCCCACACACACACACACAGATCATTGAGCCTGGCCGGGGCGGGGAGCACACCCTGAGTTGCTCAGAGCTCTGGCTCTGGAAAAGGTTCTTCATGGGCTGGAGCAATAGCATGGCGGGTAGGCATTTGCCTTGCACACAGCCAACCTTGGTTTGATGCCCAGCATCCCATATGGTCCCCTGAACACTGCCAGGAGTAATTCCCGAGTGCATGATCCGGGAGTCACCCCTGTGCATTGTCGGGTATGGCCCAAAAAGCCAAAAAAAATTTAAAAAGTTGTTCAAGAAGAGGCAGTCTTCCTCCTGACGTACAGTGGGGAGACTCATGCTACCTGCGCCTGCATCCCACCTAGCAGATGAAATTCCTACTCTGTTAGACATTTGTGGAAGGGACCCCCCACACACGCACCGGCTGTCAGATGCAACCAAGTCCTGGTCTCAAGACAGATACCCTCCACCCTCAGCAGTCTCCCAGTATGTGGGGTTACCAGATTGTTTGTGGAAGGTACCCAGAGCTGGGGGTTAACTCGTGCCAGTCAAATGTTCCTGGCAGTAAAATGGGGACAGAACAGAAGCAAATACCAGGACCCCAGAAGCTAGCGGGAGAAGGATTATGAAGGGGGGGTCTGCCTGGACAAATTCTCCTGATCCCAGAGAAGGAGAAGTCCAACTTCTCCGGGGGTGGGGGGGCAGCTTCTCTCCTGATCTCCCCCACCCTTCCCATTACGGGACCCTCCCTCCTCCCCAGAAGTCATACCTTCTCCAGCTTGTGGTCCAAGGGGTTTCCCAAGTCCCAGGGGATCAGCCACCTCCAGAAGGTGCTCCAGGCCTTAGGTCATGCTCTCCCAGCGGGGCTTGCTGGGCTGTCTGGGCAAGCGGGAGCTGCCGGGGGAGATAAAGGCTGAGTGGTGACGTCCACGCCCCCCCGCCTTCCCCACCACAATAGCTGTGAGCTGCCACAACAGGGGGCTGGCCACCTCTTCATTAGCAGAGGAAACAAAGAGCGGAAATGGTATTAGAAAGACCTCCAAGTCGATAAGGCGCTCAACGGCTTGATGGACGAAGCCTAGTGGCTGCCATCACAAGCTGCCTTGCCCACTGGATGCCCCCATGCCCCTGCACCCATCCCCGGCCCTCCCCAGAGACAGGGTTGACCGAGAATGTGACTGAGCCCTGACAGGCTGCGCCGGGACAGAGAGGAATCTGGAAAGGAACTCAGAGCCGACGACAGAGCTGTTGGATCCGGCTGCCGGGGCCAGACTGGAAAACAACTCTACGAGGGCCAATTGAGCAGCCGTGTCGGGAGGAAGGAGAGAATTGGGGTTTCCTGTCCCACGAGGTATGAATGAGCCGGTGCTGGCTCCCACAAAAAGAGTCCGTCTGGGTTGTAGGCCAGAGTTCATGAGCATGTTAAAGGTGAGTGAGTGACCTGGTCCCCAGCAGGTCTTTGTGAAATCAGGGGTGAGGGGGTTTAACTTAATACTCACACTCTCACTCACCTCAGGGACCCTCAGTTCTCTTGACCTTACACATACGCACATGTACACACATCCATGGGTACTTATGTACCCATAGATCACACACAATACACATGGCTATATACATACCACTCATGGTACCCATACATCCAAATCACATGATGCACATACGTGCTGCATGATGCCACATACAATACACAGCATAATAAATACACCAATCATAATACACACATCGCATCATAATACACACACGTGCAATATAAACCTGCATGCACACCAATATAGAATACACGACAATATACAAAATACACGACAATATACATACCATTCATAATACATATATCCCCCACAAAACATAAAACACATGTATATATATGCACAACACAAAATACACATACATAATGCATGCCACACACACAACATACACAATTCACATACATACACACCTCTTGACACACAGACATAGACACATAACACACACCAAAACATTCCATATATAGCCACAGATTACACACAGATTACACATTGTGTGTAGTATGCACTGACTACATAGATACACATATCATCAAAGCTGACCACACACCACATTCACATCACATCCATACCACACATATACATATAAGCAGCACACACAAACATGCCTTCTAGCCTTTCTTCACAACCTACCATTCCCAAGACACTAACCCTTAGCATCACCCTTTAAGTGGTTCCTGCTGATAGGAGAGCTGACAGGCAGGCCAGACCCTGTCTGTGGCAGTCTCAGACATCTTTAAGTTTGGAAGCTGCTTGCTAGCTTTGTTTTTTAGCTTTATTTTTATAAAGTTGTTCACAATATTTGATTACATTTAAAATTCGAACACCAATCCCACTACCATTATACCTTCCCACCACCATATTCCCATCTCGAACCCCAAATCCTGCCCCCAAGGCAGAACCGAAATCGTTCATTTTGTATTGCTTGTTATGAATAATCTGCTAAAATTGAGACAGAAAAGGTTTCTTAGAGGAAAGTGTGTGAAGATTGTTGTATCTCACCCAAGAGCCATTAAACCCTTCCATAAGAAATTAGTAGCATGTTATTAAAGGTTGAGCCTTGTGTGCTTATATGTGTGTGTGTGTGTGTGTGTAAATGAATATGGCATCTGTTCTTTAGATGTATAGTTGAGTTAGAAGGAAAACACTGTTTTCAAAGACTTAGGAGGTATAAGGACCCAAATGGGTGGAATTCTGTGCAGAAATGTGGGCCAGCCAGGCCAGGAAACACTCAAGCTTAAGGCCCAGCCAAGAAACAGTAACCCAAACTTTGGGCCTTCAGGGAGCTGGAATAAGGACCCTGCACTAACTGGTATCTTCGAAAGGAAATAGCTTTCAAAGGATAAGCAAGGAAAAGGATCTAGCTGTCCACACAGAAGCTACGAAACACATGACTCTTTCTGTTGGGGGACGAGAATGTTGAGTCTTTCTCTAGATTGAGAATAGGCCATGGCGGCCCCACATGCTGGGGGAAAAGGCAGTTGGGATGGATAAGGAACCACTAAGTAAATGATGATTGGAGAGATCACCCGGGATGGGAGATACGTGCTAAAAGTAGACCAAGTACCAAACACGATGACCCGTTGGTATCTGTATTGCAAATCATAATCCCCCAAATTAAAGAGTAAGAAGGAATGTACCTGCCACAGAGGCAGGGAGTGGGGTGGCGGGTGGGACACCGGGAACAATGGGGGTGGAAAATGTGCATTGGTGGAGGGATGGGTGCTTGTGATTGTGTGACTGAAAGGTAATCATGCAAGTTTGTAACTGTAACTCATGGTTATCCAATAAAACTTAGAGAGAGAGAGAGAGAGAGAGAGAGAGAGAGAATAGGTCAATAGGCCATGGCCTATATGCATGTGTTCCCTGACTAACGTTATCACACAGTCCAGCAACTCTCATATTTAAAGTTTTTCAGATGTTACTCATAGACCAATCTAAGGGCTCTGGAAGAAACCAGCACAGACCTCTTTAAAAAAGATAACCTTCTTCTAATAGCTGAGATCAGCACCACGAGGATTACTCCATAACTTAGAGGCCAGCCGGGTATCCTAGAGGAAAGGGCAGTTCAGATAGAGAAGGGAGCACCAAATAAAAGATGTTTGGAGGATCCTCCCAGGGGGGGAGATGCATGTCGAAAGTAGACTATGGACTGAACATGTTTGCCACTCAATGCCTCTTTTGCAGACCACAACACCCAAAAGGAGAGAGAGAACACAGGGGATTGCCCTGCCACAGAGACAGGGGGGATGGGGGGATGGGGGTGGGAGGGATATTATCCATGGTGGTGGAAAATGGGCACTGGTGGAGGGATGGGTATCTGATCATTGTATAATTGAAACCAAAGCACAAAAAATTGTAAATTTACAACTGTAAAATAAAATAAAATAAAGGGGAAAAAAAGATAACCTTCTTCTAACTCACTTTGAAACCAAGTGATGCATGCAAAATCATATATTTTATTCTCTTGACTAAACAACCCACCATGAGCAAGAATCAATAGTCTCAACTAACAGCGGGATCAAATTTCTCCAGGAACTTCAAATAACGAAGTAATCAGGGGCCAGAGAGATTACTCAAGTGGCTGGAGCGTATGTTCTACGTGCAGGAAATTCAGGTTTGGTCCGGGCACCACATGATCTCCCAAGCACTGTTGAACAGGCCAAAAGAATAAGAATAAAATAATCTTGGAGTGATAGCACAGTGGGAAGGGCATTTGCCTTGCACGCAACCGACTTGGGTTCAATTCCCAGCATCCCATATGGTCCCCTGGGCACCGCCAGGAGTAATTCCTGAGTGCAGAGCCAGGAATAATTCCTGTGCCTCGCTGGGTGTGACCCCAAAAAAGCGGGGGAAAAAAAAGACTAAAATAAATCAGAGGTGGAACCAGAAAAAAAAAAAACTATTCCCTATTATAAGAGATTAAAAAGCAGGA